TAGGCAAAACAAGATAGATGCCCACAGTTGAGGAATTATGTCTTGGGTTATAGTATTTGTTATGTCTAGCCATAAATTGTTTTTCTTAAACAGGTTCCTGGCTTCCATACCATCAAAAGAGCTCAACCAGAGCGAGAGTACATGCAAACCAACTGCTTAAATTAACAAATCATAACCAACCAGGATCTTTAGACCCACTTCTTAAAGTATATAAAACTAAGGCTACCCCCCATGCTCTTATATGGAGCTGAAGTTTGGGGCCTAAACCAGGTACCATTATTAGAGTAATCACAATCACAGCACCTGCAAAGTTTTCTGGGAGTGGACAAAAATGACCCCAGCTGCTGCAGTAAGACCTGAATTGGGAGTATATACAATTGATGGCTTATGCAAGATTGTGGCATATAACTACTGGGTAAAATTGAACACCATGGCAAAACACAGACTACCAACACTGTGTCTGTTAGAGCAGACAAAAAAATCAGCATCAGACGTCTTGGCTAGTTCAACTGACAAAACACATTAGGAGTTTTGGACTTCCAATTCTGTATCCAAATCTCCTAGAAGAACTAGATCCAAAAATGGTTGCACAATGAATGCTGGATATAGAAGCTCAGAAAGACATTGCCACCCTCAGTAAAGCTGGTTCATTGAAATGGCTAAGTCGTTTTAAACATACTTTTCAAACAGCCCAATATCTAAAGACAGAAATGCCTAAACACCTCAGTAGGGTATTTATCAGAACTAAATTTGAAAAGCTGGGTACAATGGTCAAACATGGAAGGTTTAACCAAGTTCCATATAATGAATAATTTGGTATCCTTGGAGTGTCAGAAGTAGAAGGTATTGTACATGTACCATTTAGTTGGGATCTGTATATTAAAACTACATTTTTATTGGCTGGCCAGACATACAGAATGGCCCTTTTAAAGCAACACAGCTAAGAACTGAATATTTAGAGTTGATTGGAGTAAACTGTAGGGGTGATGCAGATATTTGACCTGGATTGGAACCTTTTTAAGAGCTTGTTTATTTGAACTTATGTTGTAATGTATATGTATGTGTAGGTGTTTGTCAAATGTTTTTGATACAGCCAATAGACTAATCAATAAAACGTACTACTTCTAGCCATAAATCATGCTGGTTGTGAATGATGGCCTCTGAAACCAAAATATCTAGATTGTCTGCCCCTGTCATACACAGTTTTAGAATTTGATAAGCATTTTGTGCTAGTAATTAATACTAAAAAATCATCCTTCTGTGCTTCAGTCTCACCCTACAGCCTGTCTTAAAAGCTGAAGTTCTTATTTCTCCATCTACTTCCTTTCATAAGATTTTATTCTGCAGCAATATTACAGTTACTTCCTAGGGCCCCCAGAGAAAAATATATAAAAAATGCTGGACTAAAGTGGGGGGAGGAAATAGAAGAAGGATACATGAAAGCAGAAATAATCTTCCTTCAGGGGAATAAGCAAGTTGGACAGAAATGGATGTTGAGTTGAGAATCATTCTTGTTTTGATAGACGAGTTCTTTGCCCTGCTGTCAGAACAATGCAGAAGAAATTGTATCCAGACAGACACCCCAGAGAATGAAATGTTGTCTCCAAATCCTTATGAGAAAACTCAGATACAAGGCAGAAAGAGTGGATCAAGTCGTCAGTGTAAGACTTCTTCAGTGGCCCGTATCACCTCACAGGCTGGAATCATACAACACACTCTTATGAAAGGGTCAAGTCCTGTTCAGTCTGCAGACTTGTGATGAAAAGCTCACGAAAGAAGCGAAGAGTAGCACTTTCATATGACAATATGGTCAGAGGGATAATCCAATTTGTAAACAACTAACGTAAATTAAAGAGAAATCTGACAGAGAGTGAGTGGATTTGAGCTTTGTCTAAGACACAGCTGCTGCTGTATGGGAGGAAAATTCAATTTAAAGAATCTAAAACTAAACTGTCTTCAAGAGGTCAATCTTATAAAAGCATCCTACACAGAGAAAAAAGAGAGAGAATACTTTACTCCCCTCCACCTGCTCAATCTTGCTTTGTCTTTCTCCTGCTATCCAACCTTGTGCTCATTCAATATTTTTCTCATTTGAAAGAGTCTGGGGGCCCTTCAGTGGGACCAGAACATGGAGCTGCCTAATAGCCCTCTGGAGAAATAAATATCTTTGCCTGCCTACAGCTTTGTCTCTGATGGTTACAAAAAATTAAGGAAGGTAATTAAGGAAGGCTACCACCTAATGAAGCTGCTTAAATACCCTCAAGGCACCAGATCCCATACTATCATGCAAGCACAGCAAAGGAAGCCCTGGTTAGTACTTGGATGGGTGGCCATCACTGAATCCCAGGTGCTGCAGGCTATATTTCAGTGGGAAAACCACCTCTGAGTATACCTTGCATAAGAAAACTCCATTAAATTCAAAGGTTGCTACAAGTCGACAGGTGACTTGAAGGCACATACGCAGACCATCTAATGACTGAACACATTCCTGCAGGGGACAGGCATTTTAATTAACTAAAATTAATTAATCTGTTTTAAAAGCAAAACAGCCTTTTAGTATCTTTTTAGATGTCTGTATTTCATAGATTTGGAACTATGACAGAGACAAACATCTAGACATAAATCCACATACATAAATGGCTCTGTGTGTGCATGTATGAAATTAATTCCTTAGTGATTGACAATTTTTTTCCATTTTACTTACTCCTGTATTTTAATTATGCAGAGGTTGCAGAGGAGAGAAAAAAAGCAGGAGATAGATTATTCATCAATTAAATCAGTCTACTGCTTTAAAATTTCCAAATTTCAGTAAGGTCTGTGTATAGCCCTAGTTATGCCAGCCATGATCGTAAAGCCTGACAAATGCAGATGATTGAACGACAACTCCCAGAATATCTGAGGAGTAGTTCAAAAATGATTTTACCAAAGCCTAACTATAGTCTAAAGCTGTATTGTTCCCAATAAATTTCCATGGAACCCCAGCTGGAGAGAAAAAAGCAAAAAGATCAGAAGTATCTTCATCAGCTTCCTGTCTGCCAGAAACTTCTGGGATTCTATATATTGGGCACAACTATCTACATTTTTCTTATCATAGGGACAGGAAGTTAAGTGAAATCTTCTGAACATCATCATAGGCTATCACTTGCAGGTGTAGGGTCTTGGGGTGGGAACATATGTGATTGTAGAGACCTATTCTTGATCTGCATCTTCTTTCATAGTGAGGACATTAATTTCCAGGTGGAAGGTGGTTCTGACAAGGGTTGACTTGACACGTCTTCCTCTTGACATGTTTCTCCCTTTCGCCTTCCATTCATGCCTCTTCAAATTTCACAGCACTGTTGGTAACAGCTGACCTCCAGTTAGAATGCTTGAGGGCTAGGCCTTCCCAGTTAACTGAGTCTATGCCACAGTTTTTAAGGTTAGCTTTCAGCCCATCTTTAAATCTCTTTGAGATATGGTGATCAGGCATTCGGAAAATGTGACCAGTCCAGTGAAATTGATGATGGAGGGTCATCGTTTTAATGCTGGTAGTCTTTGCTTCATCCAGAATGCTGACATTTGTCTGCCTGTCTTCCCAAGAGTTTTGCAGGATTTTACAGAGGCAATGCTGATGGAATTGTTCCAGAAGTGGAGTGTGACATCTTAGATAGTTCACCTTTCCCAGGCATACAACAGGGTTGAGAGGACAATAGCTTTATAAACAAGCATCTTGGTATTCATACAAATGTCCCAATCCCCAAATACTTTCTGCTTCATTCAGAAAAAATGCTGCACTTGCAGAGTTCAGATGGTGTTGTATCTCAGTGTTGATGTTGACTTTTATGGTGTGAGAAGCCAAGCTTTTTGTATGCTTCTGCAAAGATGTTTTGAGTGGCTTGTATATATGCCTGGAGATACACTTTAAAAAGTACATGTTCTGAATTACAAACAAATTCAACTTAAGGTCAAACCTGCAGAACCTATTTTGTTCATAACTTGGACAATGCCTTTAAAGAGACTTTCAGTCTTGAACTATTCACAAAAGTTTCTATAATGGAGTGTGCTGTACTTTACCTTATGTTTCATATGCATTTTAAACTGTTGTAAATATTTTTTTAAGTTTGAAAACATTTATTTTAATTTTCAAACTATTTTTATAAACACAGAGAAAAAATAGATCAAATTTCACATGACTGTGGCCATTTTCTTTTGTGATTGGCATCTGATCCTTGAGTTAATCCAAACTAGAAGCACAGAAATAGGTGATAAGATTGTCCAACATTGGTTCTATCAAAGCACATCCTAGATAAATGAGCAAGGAAGAGATTAACCTGGAGCGAGTACAGAATGGATGGAAAGGTAACAGACAGGAAATGGAGAATGTTCAAAGCTCTATTGAATGTACGCCTGAGGGTAAAGAGTGCCTCATAGAAATAAAATGTATTGGTTGATGGAGGGAGGGATGGACAGAATGGGTGGGAAAGAAAGTGTAAATATGACTGCTGTCAAAACAATGCTCTTACTGCCTCTTAACATGGGCTACTGAAATCGGCACTGCAAGAGTTGATCAACAGTGGAATGGATTCCATCAGAAGCTTGTGGGCTCTCCTTCTTTGGAGGTCTTTAAACAGTTATTGGTTGGCCACATCTCAAGAGTGCTTTAGATGTGTATTCCTGCATGGCAGGGAGTTGGCGAAGATGCCCCTAGCTTTATGACCTAGAACTGAATGCTGACAATCTACACGGGACCAAAACGTGCAACCCACAGAAGTGCAACTTAAATATCCAAAATATATCAACAGGATTTTGGACTCTATTATTAGTTTTCTTTTTCTAACCCCCCCCCCCCCAAATGCCAACTATAGATCTTTTACAGAATGTGCAATAATAGAACAGGACAGTCTAAATCCTTTTCTAATGCATTCTCTGGTTTTCTATTCTCTCGTGTGGTGTTTTTTGCTTTTTTTCCCCCCATGGCACTTTTAACTGGGTGAGTGATTGTATTAATTTCTTTCTTTTACCTTTCAGAAAAGCCTGGAAGTCTCTGCCCTTATCTTCATTGATTTTGCCTTCCAGAGAGGAGAGTGTCTTGCTCACATCGCTCATGACGACCGAAATGTTGTCAACCTTCTTCTGTAGTAAAGTCAGTTTCATCTCCTGGCTGCTAATCTGTTCATTCATTTTTTGCGCAACTGCTAAGTAAGAGAAAAAGAAGGGAACAAAAGAAGAAAAAGATTGAATTAAATCACAATGGAAAAAAGCAGAATGTGCCAAAACAACACCTATGAGAAACTGCTAGAAGTGGAGTGAAAACTTTCTGCATTAATAAGAAAGGGCCATTTTGATTTTTGTCATGTATCTTGACTTATGAGTGACATTCATACAAGAACAGCAGCAAATAATTGCTGAATAATCCATATTCATTACAGAGTAGTTATAATTCCAGGATAGTATAGTTAACAGAAATTTAATGAGCATGAGCAGAGTCTTCTCCTATCTTGCTGGTTTCATGTGCAGGATTCAGTTTTACTGTTTAAATACATTAATTATACTCCAACAGATTGAATTTAACAATTGGTTTAGCTGCTATTTTGCAAACAGGTGTAGGTCATGCAAAAGTGAAATTATATCTCAATGCTGTTAAACAAAAAAAAGAGATCAATTGCTTTTCTTTAGAGATATCTAGCCCACCTAATTGAACTGTATCTAATTTTGCTCAGAATTCTTCGTGTGATTTTTTTTTACAAGCAAAAACCTCAGAGGCTGCCCCAAATTCTGCTTCAGAAGAAATTCAGCAGCATCAACTCTCTGTGCCCACTGCAAGGAGGATTTCTTGCCTAGCTCTAAATTCACAATAGGATGTTCAATTTAATAAAGCCGCCAAACTTCACAATTACCTAGTTCAGATTGGGAATTTGCCTAGAGTCTAGTTTCCTGCTGATAAACAAGTGAGGAGATGTTAAAATGACAAGATCCAATTAACACAGGGGTGTGTCACCTGATTTTTTTTTTGGATGGCATCTCCCCAGGTAGCTGAGTTATAGCCCAAAACATCTGGAAGGCACCAGACTGTGAGTCCTAACACGATTAGAACACTCTAAGAAAAAAAAGAACGTCATTCTTTTGCATGAGCATTTTCGAATAATGCTCATAACTAGTGACCTAATTTTTGAAATTTGCTTGGGGAAGTTCATCTGTTGCAAACCAGGAGCACTTCACCCAGGGCATTACTTCAGTAATACCCTATTCTAGCTTCCTCCAACCTCCCTCTGTTCTCCAGATGTTTTAAATTACTATTTCTTCTCCTCCCATCATCATTTATAACTGCCAATGCTGGCTTATAGTTTATGAGATTTGCAATTCAAAACATCAATGAATCACCAGATTAGTTTACATTATGCTGGTGTTTTCTGAGGATCTAAAGCAGGACCAGAGTGATGGTTTGAGCATTGGACTAGGACCTCATCACATTGATGATGATGGGGACAATGAGGAAAACCATGTGATAGTCTAAGGCTTTGTACCCTTACTGGCAGTAGTTATGGGATCCCCTCCCAAGGTGTTTCCTTGCTGTCCCCAGCTTCCTCCTGCTTCCTCCCTGGCTTCTTCTCTGTGCTGCCGGCATGCTGTCAGCACGGGGCCCATCATAGTGCTACCGGAAGTAGCCCTGGGTCATTTGATGGACTCCAGGGGAGTCCATGCTGGCAATGTGACAGCAGCACAGAGAAGCACAGAAAAGACTCAATTTGATGAGTTGGTAAAACTTTGGAGAAAAGGTTCCAATCCTTACTCTACCATAGAAACCCACGGGGAGATCAGTCACACAAAGCAAATCTGGGTAAATATTAGGGGTGTGCAAAATTTCAGATGATGTTTTGTATTTCAGAAGATTCGGGCAATTTGGAGTAATAAATCACCAAAATACAAACGGGCAAAACAGCCCCCAAATCTTTTCAAAACAAAACAGGCCTTCTGAAAGTTCAGGAAAAATGGAAAGATTCATTGATTTGGAGTGGGATTTTTTTACAATGTAACAAAATTGCCTGGGGTGGGAGGGAAGGAGGGGACTGAACGCGGCAACTGCAAAGCTAGTCTCCATTCCTAAGCAAAAGATATGTGATTGAGAGATCTATTGTGTTTGTTAAAATTTAAATTTAGAAAGTGGTCTTTCCCTAGTCATTGAATTGGGGATCTTAGAAAGAGATTTAAAATTACACTACTCTTTCCCTAGCCATTGAATTGGGGATCTGAGAAAGTGATGTAAAAATACATTCCTATTTCATTAGCCCTAGCACAAAGATGGCATTACTATATAACTATTATTCCTTAATTATTAATTCATTATTTATTATTAGATTCATGCAGTTGGAAGGAACTCCCTGAAAAAGGCCATCTAGTTCCAACCCATTCTGCCAAGCAGGAAGATGGAATTACTATTATTATTACTATCACCATTATCATTATTCTATTTATTATTATTAGACTCATACAGTTGGAAGGGACCCCAAGGGCAATCCAGTTTCACCCCATTCTGCCAAGCAGGAAGATGAAATTATTATATTATTATCCTTTATTATTATTATTATTATTATTATTATTATTATTATTATTATTATTAGACTCATAGAGTTGGAAGAGAACTCAAGGACTATCCATTCTGACACCCTTCTGCCGAAAAGGAAGACCCCATTAAATCCTGACAGATGGCCATCCAGACTCTGCTTACAGAATCATAGAATGCTGGGAGTTTAAAGGGAGCCCCAAAGGCCATCCAATCCAACTACTCAACAGGCAGGGGGACACCATCCTATTTATTTATTTATTTATTTACTTATTTATTTAGAAGTTTTATATACCGGTCTTCTCACTTCCGAGGAGGGACTCAGGCCGGTTCACAACATGTGTTCATATACAGTAATATATAAAACAGCACAGCATCCTAGCCTTCCTACAGGTGGCCATCCACCTGGCTTAACAATCAGTCTAAGGCAAATTTAAAAAATTCTAAAGATTTGTAAATGAATTAATCTTCTGGAACCTTGTAGGTTTCTGCAATCTTCTGAAATCTTCTTATGCTATCTCATCGTGAAGAAATTCAAGGGATACCTCTTTTGGATTTTTTTTAATTAGTTGAAAAACCTTTTAAATTTACTAAAGGTCAGTGGATGAGTGAAATGTTCTGAAACTTTGCAGGCCTACAGTCATGCATGTCGCCTATAATTGTGGCAAGTTTCATCCTGGTGGCTGTAAAAATGGCAGAGAAACATGCCTCAAAATTTTCCCCATTGCTGCTAATGAAACATATCTTAGCAAAGCAATGATGCAACTTCAGTATTTGGATTATGAACTGAAATGCACCCCCCCCCCATCCCGAATCATTGTGAATCTAAATCTCGAAACGGAATCTGAAATTGATTTCTGCCATTTTGCACAACTCTAGCAAATATACTCTCTCAGCCTCTCAACAAATTTTGTTGAACTTCCATGACAGAGTTGTATTTGTGTTGCTAGAAGTCCGAAGTGTAGCCCCTTTCCTGAGAAATGCCATTAACCTGTGCAAAACCATGTGTTACTTTCCCTAAAAATTCATTGGATGATACGTATGGACAGGAACTGTCTAATTCATCCCCAAACATTCTTTAGGGTGAGATTTCTCAGCTGGTATTTCAATTCAATGTTGTCTGCCTTTTGAAATCCTTTTGTACAAGAAACATGTGTTGCTCAAGGATCAATGAGCATAATCTCCAACATTTCACAGATGAAGATAAGGACACTCATGTGAATCTGTAAGACAAGTGGCTGAGTGACATGATAGTGAGATCGAAAGAGTGTACTCAAGCACAAAAGTTATTAATAATGAAGAACACAAAAGGGTACTATTTTGTACAGAGAAACTGCTAGATATATGTATCAACTTAAGGGGGGGATTAAAAAATCCCTAAATCAGTAAATATAATAATAGTGATATAGTAAAATTATATATATTATACCATATATTAATGCAAAAGAATCCAATTACTTTCTATCAGGCTGTACAAGCTCTGTGTTCCCACCCACCCCATCTGCTCAACACATCTTACATATCAGATTCATATTGCAGCTTCCTCATAAAGCTCATGGGGTCACCTTGACATAATCACAGCTTCTCAGTCTAACCTACTTCACAGGATTGTTAGGATAAAAATGGAAGTGGGTGAAAATGATGTACAACACGTTCAGTTAGGAGCAGACACAGTTAAAATATATATATTTGGGGGAGGGGGTTGGCAGTATGGTTATTATGAATAATTTGATTCATTTCCAGTTGTTTATTTGGAACTTATACAGTTTATAATCTTGGAGACATTTACTTGGGAAAGAGAGTCAATTGGTGTTGCATTACGAGTTTTGGAGAGCAGGTTGTGAATCCCTGCTCAGCCATGGGAACCCATCTGGTGACCCAGGGCAAGTCACACCTTCTCAGCTTCAGAGGGAGGCAATGAAAAACCTCTTCTGAACTAATCTTGCCAAGAAGCTCCCATGGTAGGTTCATCTTAGGGTAGCGTTTCTCAACCTGGGGGTCAGAATCCCTGAGGGGGGTAGCAAGGGGTTGCCAAAAGACCACCAGAAAACACAGTATTTTCTGTTGGTCATGTGAGTTCTGTGTGGGAAGTTTGGCACAATTCTATCGTTGGTGGGGTTCAGAATGCTCTTTGATTGTAGGTGAAATATAAATAGGTGAACTATAAATCCCAACTACAACTCCCACATGTCAAGGTCTATTTTCCTCAAACTCCACCAGTGTTCATATTTGGGCATATTGAGTATCCATGCCAAGTTTGGTCCAGATCCATCATTGTTTGAGTCCACAGAGCCCTCTGGTTGTAGGTGAACTACAATTTCAAAACCCAAAGTTAATGCCCACCAAACCTGTGCAGTATTTTCCACTGGGTCATAGGAGTTCTCTGTGCCAAGTTTGGTTCAATTCTATCGTTGATGGAGTTCAGAAAGGCTCTTTGATTGTAGGTTAACTATAAATCCCAGCAACTACAACTCCCACATTACAAAATCAGCACTCCCTCCCTCCCAGCCCTACCAGTATTCAAATTTGGGTGCCAAATTTGGTCCAGTGAATGAAAATACATCCTGTATATCAGATATTTACATTACGATTCATAACAGTAGCAAAATGACAGTTATGAAGTAGCAATGAAAGTAATTTTATGGTTGGGGGTCACCCTAACATGAGGAACTGTATTAAGGGGTCATGGCATTAGGAAGGTTGAGAACCACTGCCTTAGGGCCATCATAAGGCACACAACAACAAACCATACTGAACTCAGTGGGGCATGCAAATGAACTATTTGCTCTGTAGAAGCCTGGCTTTAATACCCTCTCTCACACACACTCCCCACACATATTTTCCTCACAAAGACAACTTCCTCTCCTCTTCAATACAAATACACTCAAGCACACATTTTCTTTTTCAGTTCAAGGGCACATTTTCTTGTTCAGTTTTCATAGTCACGCACATGGATAAACAAACACTCTCCCCCTCTGAGTTTTCTTAAAATACACAGGAGCTGAAAGAAAATCTTTGAACTGCTGCTGCCATTCTTTCTGTGCCTGTCCTTTCATTATTCCACCAAGAAGGAGGTAGGAAATAGAAGGACGGTAACCTGGGATGTTGCCACAGTTTGCAGGACTATTAAGCACTATGAGTCAATAGTTAAAATGTTCATTATTTCTAGTTGTCCTCATGCCCTCCAACTGTCCCAATTTGGCATGGACAGTCCTGATTACTACTCTGTTGTCCCACTTTTCCAGCTGCTTTTGAAATGTTCTGATTTTCTCCTTTGTGCTCAGCTCACTTCAGTTGTTGAAACAACAACAACAATTTTATTTCTTACCCACCTCTCCTTGTGGCTCAAGGAGGGTTATAGAATAATTGAAACATGTAAACATTGCAAAATACCACAAATACACATATTAAAATACATTTCTATAAAATACATATTAAAATATACAAAATAGAGATTAAACAAATGACATGAATTTAAAATTCATGATTAAAAACTGTCTGGGTAGGCTTGCCAGAAGAGATAGGTTTTTAGATGGTTTTTAAATTTTGACAGTTCATTAAGATGTCAGAGCTCTTCAGACAGGTCATTCCACAGTCTTGGGGGCAGACAATGAAAAGGTCCTCTGGGTGACAATCACCAGTTGAATTCTGGCTGGCTGGAGTAACTGTCCCCCAGAAGACCTTAGTGTTTGGGGTGGATTGTACAGGAGAAAGTGATCCTTTAGGTAACCTGGACCCAACCATGTAGGGTTTCAAAGGTCAAAAATCAACACCTTGTACTTTGCTCAGAAACTAATTGGCAGCCACTGGAGTGGCTTTAGAATAGGTAATATTCACTCATAGATATTCCTGTAAACAATCTGGCTGCCCTATTTTGAACCAACTGGAGTTTCTGAACTTGGTACAAAGGTATCCCAATGTAGAGTACGTTGCAGAAGTCCAAACTTGAGGTTACCAGTGCTTGCACTACCATCTTCAGGTCCTCCAAATCTAGGAAGGGGCACAGCTGGCATATCAGCCAAAGCTGACAGTAAGCTATTCCTCACTGTTTATTTATTTATTTATTTATTATGCTTARATACCGCAATTCTCAGCCTACTGGCAACTCATTGCGGTGTACAACATAGAAAAAGATGCAGAATACAACATAATATAAAATAATCCACAGTACATAGTTATCACATCATCAAAACATCAAATTACTACAAGATCATTCCGAGTCGTCTCATCGTCAAATTCACAATCCGATACCATTTCCGTTGTTCCATTCCTATGGTCAAATCACCAGTCATTGCACTTCTATTCAAAAGCCTTCTTAAACAACCAGGTCTTCAGCTTCCTGCGGAAGATCAACGGGGAGGGGGCTAACCTGATGTCTACGGGAAGGGTGTTCCACAGCCGAGGAGCCACCACCGAGAAGGCCCTATCTCTCATCCCCGCCAGCCGTGCCTGAGATGCAGGCGGGATCGAGAGCATCTATCTGAGCTGACATTTGGAGAGACAGATCCAGGAGCCCTCCCCAGCTCTGAACACAGTCTTTCAGGGGGGTGTAACTCCACCCAGAACTGGCAGACACACCTCCATTCCCAGATTATGATCCTTGATGGAGAGCACCTCTGTTTTGTCTGGATTCACTTTCAAGTTGTTTTTCCTCATCCAGCCCATTACCTCCTCCAGGCATTCATTAAGAGAAGACTCACTATCTTTAGCTGAGGCTGTTTTTGAAGACATTGAGAAATATATTTGGGTGTCATCAGCATACAGATAACACCCCATCCCCATGCCTATGAATGATCTCTCCCAGAGGTTTCATGTAAATATTAAAAAGCATTGGGGTTTAGAATGGCCCTTAGTGGAATGCCACATAATAGCTTCTTTTTTGAGGACCAGCTATCCCCAAGCACCACCATCTGGAACCTGGCTGAGAGGTACAACCAGAACCACTGCAGCAGAGTGCCTC